GAGGGGTGAGGGGTGGTACAGAGGGCTTCAAAATGAGCTCAGACCTCATCAAGAAACAACCAATGCAGCTAAGACCCACTCAGCACAGGCACAGTGTGGAAACTCTTCTACAGCCTCTTTCACCTTCTTTAGCACCACAGACACATATGAATGAAGCGCAGGCTTCACCATTCACAGATAATCCAGCCACCAGCAAAAAGCCCTCTTTGCTGCGCATACACAGGTGATCATGGCCAGGAACTTCCAGCCCGAGGAAAATCAAACCCTTAACCCCTGAGAACTTTAAGTCCTTCCATAAACCGCACAGCTAGCACAGTCAAGGGGCCAGCATACAATTTATAAGACTAACAAAATTTGTCCTTTCTCTTGCTGTCTTGCATCATCCCAACCAATGGTTCCTCTTCGACCTGAAGCATTTTCCCCCTCCCTAAGCACACTGATTCTAATACTACAGTTGCAATCGTCAAGTATTCACTCTGCAAAAAAAAAAAAAAAAAGGGGAGAAGGATATGCTAATATAATAAAGTGTTCTGAAGAAGACATGTTGTGTTAGTGTTCTAAAGTCACAATTCACAGGATGAGTGAACAGTACAGGCCTTTGTTTCTGTTTGTTTTGTTTTTTAAGTTAAATTCTTCATCCTTAACTCACCCTACTAATAGGCGCAAAAGGCAGATGGGTGCAAAATCAAGCACATATGAGTGCAAAAACTAAGTGGTTATGTGAATATGTGTTGGCCAATTTACCAACTCAAGCTTTAAGAGATGATCTGGATAGGCTTTGGATGATTAAGCTACAGATTTATCACAAAAAGTAGTTGGAAATGTTGTAAAAAAGAAGGTCTCAACCATTAATATGTTTCCAGAAACACCTTCTCATTTGTATTAGGTTAAGTTTCAATAAATACAGTGCTTTGGATGGAAGTCAGGGGGGCAGGGAAAACTGTTGTTTAGTACAGGTTGCTACAGCCTAAAGCAGATTTTACTGAAACTCTTGAGCATTTTTTCTCCTGAAACACAGTTTTAGAACAATGATACTGAATCCTCCGATCATAACAATGCTTTTAAAAATAATGACTTCCATTAAAGGAAGTAGAGCAGAAAAGAAAAATGCTGGGGGATGAATAATTTATTCTGCTTATTGTGCAGAAACGATACAAAATAATTTTAGTTTTACTAGATTATTTTAATTGTCTAAGCTTATGTAAAGCAGCACAAGACTGCTAGAATACTACCTCAAAAAAGTAAAGTTCCTGAAATTTGAGAAATACGTAGAGGAAAGTCATACTGTCACTGCCTAACTATTTTGCCAATTACTTCCCCAGGCTTCCTATTTACCTACATTCCTCCTTACCTACATTCCTCCAGCCAACAGATTAAAGCATCTCAAAACTCCCTGTGAGTCCTGAGAAGAGCTAGCAATAAAGTAAGTTAAAAAAAGGGAGGGGGCAGTAAAAGAAAAATGAAGGTATATAGTGACTATGACTACTGGTAAATACCCAAGAGATAATATTTTCATAAAGACTTACAAGAATTTGATTTTTAAAGAACATACTTTTCATACCTGTGTCGCTCCATAAGCATTATCTTTCTACTGATATGGACTAAGCTGCTGACTGTATACAACTACATATGTATATATATAAAGCATGTCCCATGAGCCACATAATCTGATTTCCTTTTGATAAGGAGATATAAAATGTTCAAGAAAGAACAAAATTCATTAAAATCCATACCTGCAATTGTTCATTTGAGCTCAACCTCCATGAAGCTGCACAAAATTACTTTCTTAGGCTTTTCTAAAATTGATCCTCAAGAGATGAAGATGAATGGTACTGAAACACTCCTAACAGGGTAACTAACATCTCAACAGAGATGAAAAGACACCCAGGGCTGACCACAGGAAAACATGGGGACAGGAGAAGAGCAACACTGATTATCCAAGAACACGAGCAGAAATGAAACAGAATTACACAACAGAGAATCAGCAGATTGGCAGCTGTTGCACTGTGAACCTTTCCATTACCTAATACACTGCATTACCTCTCCATCTTTGAAAACAAAAAGGAGAGAGACCTGGGAAAACAGGAGGATTTCTGTACAAATGATCCAGAGAAAAAGGAGACCATTGTTAATAATGCAATATGATGACAGAGAGAGTTGAAGCTCAAGTTTGCTCCGAGACAGACATTAGTATCAGCAATGCATTAATGCAAGCCTGCTGCCACCCCGTGGTATTTAAAAGTAGCAGCTCTGAAGAAAATAGCACTTTCCTACACTCCAAAAAACCTGAACTTTAAATTACTCTCTAATTGAGCCAAACATTTTTTTAAAGGAACTCACTACTTAAACTAAATTTATGTTAAGTTTAACACCACTGCAGAGTTGATATGACTTTAAAAAAACCCAACAAAAAAACAACAGCTGAGCACAAGTAATCATACCTATTTCAGCCCAGATTCAAACCCTCAATGTCCAAGTCAATGCAAAGGCTTTCCTTAGTTTTCAAGTATGTGTTTCTCCAAAACAGAGAGAGATGATTGACATCTAGTCCAACAGTTTCAGTCAAGAATTTTCTAGTCTGTAAACACCTAGCAGTTTGGTCTTCTGATTACTTATCTTCCTAGCAAATATGCTGAATAAAGTTTTTCGTTACTTGGAAAACATACACAATTTCTGCTGATGACTTACCACACACATGATGTAAGAGAGGATGGCGCCAGAGGAACCAATGAGTGCACCAACAATGGTCAGCAAGTTGTTGTTCAGTAGGAAGCCCTCAGCACACAAAGCCCATCCAGAATAACTGTTCAGGACAGTAATAACTACAGGCATGTCAGCACCTCCAATAGCTGCTGTTAAAGTGACACCCTGGAAAAGGAAAGAAAATGCTTAGCTATGAGTGAGAACATGCAGAGAAGACAGTGCCTGCAGCACTAAAAAATAACTATCAGGTTACTTAACCTATTCAAGTATTTCCAGTGTGCAGGAGACACGAAGCTGTGGCCCGAGGATTGGCCTTAATGATTCTGCCTTTGCAGAGAGGACAGGAAGGCACTCTCCTCATCCTGCACTTAGTCACATATTTTAACTCGCAAAAATATCCTACCAGCTCCATGAACTGTTCATACCATTAAAGGATTCATACTGAGCAGTCTTTGCAAGACTCAGTTTACAGAATGGTAATATTCAGGGTAAGTCTTGCAACAGCTGGTGTGAGTGAGTAGGGGAAGTTACACATGGGGATAATCTTATTAAGTTACCACAATAATCTGTAGATCGAGTGCTCTCAAGTATTTTAAGGATAAATTTTCCAAAAAGTCTTTTAAAATACCAGTTTTTCCATATAAAAGTCCATATATATTAAGTCCATATATATTAAGTCATAGCTGCAAAAAGTAGTTAGATACATACATGCCTGTTCTCTGGAACAGTTCTGGTTTACAGTTAGATTTAGGAAAGTCAGCTGCTGCTTGCTACTGCAAGCTGGCATACAGGCACTATGTCCATTGTGACTCAGGATGGTAAAATATAATCATTAAGAAGAAATTTACAAAACTGAAGAATAAATGGCTTGTTTAATTTGTTTCACCTCCTACAATTCCCTGACTTACCATTACGGCTGAGAGAACTGACACAGAACCTAAGCAAGTAATTCCCGTAGTGTAACTAGGATCAATCATGTATGGAATCATTCCGCCAACGCTGGCAGCCAGCAATCCTGCATTCAACGCATGTCGACCAGGCAAGAGCAGTGGTGCAGAATTCAGGATACCTGCAATCAAATGCATATTCAGAGATTGACGCATACATGCAGGAGAGCCTGTCTCTTGCCTTCAGAGAAGGCTGAATACCCCAGCAAAAGAAAAATTTAAAAAGGGAGGGTCAAAAGATAAAACAAGTTAGTTGACACTGAGACCTTGTGCTGACTTAGGATTTCAACATATTCAAAATTACTCTAGATTCTCAAATACTGCTGATTAAAATCTTGGTTTACTTTCTAATCTCACTGAAATGTTTTATAAGAATCACAAAAACCTCTTCTCCTCTTGAAAAACCTTTAAAAAACCAAAACAAAACAAAAAAAACCCCACAAAAACCCACCAACACCACCAAAAAAACCCCAAATTTCTTCCATTCTGGCCTCAAGTCTTTGCATGTTGTCTATTACCTCTGTAACAGGAAGCTTTTAGCTGGAACTTCTTAGTACAGGTATTACCTCAGTGTCTCAAAACCTATGTGCTTAGAAAAATATTACCACACAGATACCCCAATTACAAAACACTCCTGCTTTCAAAGGTTTTAATTTAACCAGTACCCTCAGTCACACAGACTTCCCACAGCTTCCCACAGTAGCAGAGACTTGACAGGAAAAGAGGATTCACTATTTGTGTGAATCAGTTTAAAAAGACAATTACATATTTATTTTCACCCTAGGCTTTTTTTTTTCTCCCCAAACAACACAGCAAAGAGTAAAAATAATACAAGTTTACATGTTACTTTTGGTGTAAGTAATTACTTACCGAGTGTCTCATTTCAATTTAGCTGAATTCAAGGGAAAGAATGAAATGATAAGTCTCAGGACTAGGAGTCGAAGTGTGTAACCTACTACCTCTAGTTCAATAGTATAGACAAGTTTATTATTATTGTGTTGACATGGAAATGCAAGAGGGAAAAAAATAAACAAAAAACAGGAGAGTGGGCTGAAACAGGCAGTGAAGTTCATGAGGGACAAGTGCATAAACCACTGAGGGGGTGGAGGGGGTAAGATGGAGAAGAGGTTACAAAAAAAAATAAATAACCAAGAAGAAATAAGTAACTACTTAGCAGAAATATATCAGAAATACATACTACTGACAAATCCTTCAAAAGATTATTAGAGAAGACAGCTTTCCATCCATGTCATGCTTCCTCCTTCAATGGCTGGTCTCATAAACACTGAAGAAAGCAAGCAGGTATTTCTTAAAGGAGCTACTGCAAAGCTAGTAACAGGATTAGTAATATGAAGCTCTTAGCCGGAACTTCTTCATACAGGTATTATCTCAGTCTCTCTAAAGCTGTGTGCTTACAAAACCAAAAATAAATGCAATAAGGAAACCTTCAGGTGCATAAGAAACAGGAATTAGTGAACATTTAATGTAGAAGGCACATTTACTAAAACTCTAAGAGGTATGGAGCATGGATTTTGCGCAGTATGTAAATAAACAGTGAACTGCATGGTTTAAAGTGAAGCAGTCTCAACTGATACTGCAAACTACCTACCTAAACCAAGTCTGCAATACTAACAACACAATCCCATAAATATTAGCAGTGCTCACTGAGTCCAGCATTACCAGGGTTTCAATTAAAATGTGTGCTCAGGAATATGAAATTGTGATCATAAAAGTTCAATAAAATCAATTAGAGAAACAGTGTCAGGCAGTGTCTTAATAACACTAAAGCAACAATTACTTCCAGACAAGATGAACTGAGGGAAGCTTACATGACTTGGTAATTTAATAGCAGTAGTAAGTCCAAGCACTGAAGGCAAACTTTTCATAACTAAAGCTGTACACAAATTAAACAAAATTAAAAAGAAAAAAGTCCACTCATAAGAATTAAACATACAAACTTTTACCTGATGCAAAATACAAGGCTTCTTTCCAATTCCATAGTAGTCTAAAGGCAGAGCTAAACCCTGGGAGGGGGGGAAAGCCCTTTAACAAGTAATTAATTCTGAATGGAACGTCTCACCTTGCAGTTTTCCATAAGCAACAAGAGAGCCACTGAAAGTCACTCCACCAATGTATGTGCCAAGGTACGCCACAACCTTGGTGAGGTTTGCAGCTGGATCAGTAGCAAAGTGAGGGTATTCAATCATGTATTCTGCTACACAGGTGAGCACAGCAGCCAAACCAACCAAACTGTGGAAAGCAGCCACTAGCTGAGGCAGATCTGAAATCTGGATGCGTTTAGCAATCATCAAACCTATTAAGAGTTGAAAGAAGGGAAGTCTTACAAAACACAACCAATCTGTACAGCTACAAATTAACTTACCATGGTTCATGCAATCAATACATGCACATACATGCCTATTCCAATGGAAAAAATTGTTCTACACTAGACATTGCTATGGCATTTAACTGAAAGCTGCCTATGTGTATTTTGTACAATGAGGATCTCATGGAAATTAGAGAGAAGATTAAAGAATATCATGTTCTTAGAAGCTTCACAACATATTAAGAAATTCAGTGTTTTCTATGACGAAAGCACAGTGTGAAAAAGAGAATTTGGCAGCATTCAGTCAGGAACTGAACGGGAGTATGAAGTTGGGTAACTTCATTTACCTCTGCATACCTAGTTTCCCTAACAGACATGATGTGCTCCTGCTTTTCCACCAGTCTTCCCATTCTTTAGCAGGTCCTGATGCATTAATAAAAGCCATGGGACTTAGGATTCTTTGTTCACATACTTACACACATGGCTTGTGTACGTTGTTTTGCAAGTTAGTCAATTCACCTGTGAGCTATACAGTTTTTTGTGTATCTACAACTTGCATAAATGCATGTATAAAGCATATATTGTTACTTTATAGTATCATACACATACCTATGGTACCACCACATGTCATTGCACCCGACATCTGTGCCAACAATTCAGGTGAGGGTTTAAGGCCTCCAAGAGTTGCAGCTAAACCTCCTGCAACACCAATCATACCCAAAGCATTTCCAAGACGAGCTGTTCCTTGGGTGGACAGACCAGCCAGGGCCCCAACACAGCATAAGCCTGAGCCCAGATACATCATCTTTAAAATAAGAAAACATGAATATGCATACATTAAGTAGAGACAAAGTGCACAATCATTGTCAAAATCTTTCTGATTATTACACAAAAGGGATGATTTCTCCAAGAAGTGTGTAAGTCATAGTTCTTAATTCAAGTCAAAACTCTTGAATGTGATAGAACTGTTGTACAGGATGTGATTTTGGCCAATTAAAATGTGATATCTATTAAAACTTCTTCCCCACCGTATGACCTTGGTTTATCTGCACTGTGCATACTAAACTGGAGTCAAGCCAATTTTCCTCATCAGTTCAGAAGCAAGTTTTTTTTCAGTACAAACCCAAAGTTAAACTGTTCTGCTCATTATAGGAATAGTTTCAGAATTTGCTTATGGCACATCTGAACTCCTGTTTTCAAAAAGCATAAACAAACTGAAATGAACTGAGCTGCACATGACTAGGTAACTGAAAAAACTCAAATATATTACAAGCCTCTGGCATAAAGGTATGTTTGGATTCACTTTCATAACACAGAAGGCAATACACATTTAATTTTCTTACTATTAAAACAAATGCAAACAAAAGTTTACCATAAAAGGTGTTACAGGTACAATCCCTGTATAACCCTCTGTGCTGAACTGTCATCCCATCCAGAAGTCATGCCTACTTAAACTGTCACACCAAGTTGAATTTTCAGAAACTTTTAAACAAAATACTGATTTCTGTAGATGCTCTAATATTTAAGCTGTAACTTAAGAAAACGGTCCAATAAATAACAAAGTACCTGCTGCTTTACAGGAAAAAAAATAGCCAAAGCTTTTAAAATTTGCAGATTGAGCATTTGGGGTATGATTGCAAGCTTAATGAATTTCAGATTTGCCTTGTGGGAATATGTGGCTGATGAAAAGACCATGGCTAATTTGCTATTTACTCCTACACAGAGTAAGCAGAGAAGTAGCATACCATACTGTGAACAGTGGGCCAAGAGCCACAACGTTATCTTCTTACCTGCTCAATATTATAGCCACCGTTGAGAGCAGCTGCATAGCCTCCTACAAATACACCACCAGGAAGCAGGTACAAGTAGTTGTACTCAGGAGGATCTGTGGGACGTCTGAACATATCCAGCATTCTCTGTGTAACTAGAAACCCACCTGGCCAAAGTAAAGGAACAATTTTACAAAAAATGAAATCTAAAACTAAGCATGTGCCAAGCTGTAAGATAAATCTTTGGTTAAAGCACATTACCACACAACATTAGCAACTGACCCCAGTAAAGCCTCTGAAAAGCTAGTAATCTGGAAAACCACCAGGAAACAAGGGTGTAATCAGGGTGAGATCCTGTTGTCTTTTTTAATGTTTGGAAGAAATTCATAAAAGGAGGACTTGGTAAGCCTGGAGGACTTCACTGGCTCTTTACGCTGACTGTAGGATACAGCTTAGTTTATGACTGTGTCCTTTTCCCTATCTACTCTAGCAAAAAGCAGTATTTGTAAGTCACATGGCTCACACTCTTTTTTTTTTATTTGTGAAGCTGGGACTTCTGAAGCTCAAGGAAGCAGAATTTTGTTCTATGCCACTAGTATATTCTTCAAGCAGGAAAAGGAACGTAAAGCCAAATGCAGTACCGTCTTGGGATATACAGGAGAAGGTATTTCATATAATCATCACCCAAAAGATACTGTAAAAGAGAAACACACATTTAAGTTCTTCCCTAAAAAAAGGTTACACCACAGGGTGTGCAAACCATATATATTAACTATTATGAAAATCTGAAGGGGGGGTGTTTCTTTATTGATGGATGGTCTCAGACCCTATTCCCACAATAGTATTTCTGGAATCTACACACTTAAAGAGCTAGAAGAAATAGAAGAATTACACAAATGCTTTAAAGTTACTCTCAGGAGAAAACCTAACATTCATACCTGCAATATTTACTGAAGAGATAAAGGCTGAAAGCACTGCTAGACTTTGAGGAGTGTTTTCAGGGAGGTAGTTTCCTCCCATCAATACCAGCCCACCAACTGCAGTTAGTCCTATTTAAAAAAGAAAGAAGTGTTATTGAACCTTAAAAGGCCCTACACCTATAGCAAGTTTCCTTTCAGCTGTCAGAGAGATAGCAGTCAACTCAAATTTTGACCCCCTACTCTACACATTACTATTTAAATAAAGACTACTGTGGCCTTTTTAGCAATACAAACACGTTTCGAAAGAAAAAAATTAGTATATGAATATAGTTTTGAAGTGCAGTGCCTCAAGCACAGTCGGCCTCCGTGTACTTGTTCAATAGAAGAAAATTTCCTTTCAACAGTCAAAGCAGATCAGACTCATGACCTGTCACATATACACACAGATAGATAAAATCTTACATATTTATAGAGTTATCAATCTTACAGGTCACTTAGGAATTTTTTCTTTTTCCCTCCTCTCAAAACACATAGTTTGAGGAGAAGAAAAAAAGAATGCAGAAAATATGAAAGGTAAGTTATTTTCAGGGCAACATTTTGGAGAGATGAGAGGAAAGATGTGTTCCATGAAAGGATAGACTGCAGCACTCCAAGTAAAACAAACTTTAAAGCAAACAGGTTAAGACTGAGAAATTACTTATAAAAATTAAAAATACACAGCACCATACTTGCCCTTCTGTTAAAAATGGTATGGTTCAGGTGTCCTTGCTATTTATGAAAGTAAACTCAGACATGCAAAGCAGTAGTACTAGGCTCTTTGGCATTTTAAAAGACATATCAGAGGAATGCTGTCTAAAGTTCAAGTAAAAGGAGCTGTGCCTACTTCAAACAGAAAATAAGCAGTTGTGTGACAGCAACTTACCTGAGATAGCATTAGTCACTGACATGAGTGGAGAGTGAAGAGCAGGAGTCACACCCCACACCGTATGATACCCCACTATTCCAGCTAGACCAAATGTTGTCACCATTTGTGTGAAAGCATTATTGGGAGCTACAATGCCCAGTCCTAACATGCCGGCTAAACCTAGAAGAAAAGCACAGCAAAACTGTTCTGTAACTTTTCAATGATTTCTTACATTTAAACTCTGTACAACAGGAATCCAGTATCGAGCTAAAAGCAAAACAGCATTTTGTGCATGGACTTGTTTCAAGATCAGCTGGATCATCTTTGACAACTATAAGGCTCTTTCAGTACTAGTGTTTCTTTTACAATACAACATAAAACCATAAATATAATACACACATCTTTGTTATGCATGCACGCAAAGTGGCAAAGATAGATTTCTACACTAACACTGAATCCTGTCACTCTCCTGTTCTATAGCAAAAACGTACAAGAGTCACAATCATGTTGAGATACTACTTGGAAGACTCAAAGCATGCATATGAAGAACAGAGGTTAAAATTAAGAATATTCAATTCATTCATTACTTCATGCAGAAGTTCAGATGCACACAGAATACCAAATGTCAAGAAGAGACAGGATTTATTTGTCAAGACAAATGTCCTATTCTCAGTACTTCAGCAGATATTGGGCATTTAAGTCTCATACAATGCATTAAAGTTTGAAGAAAGCAATGGCATTGAGTTGACTCTGCTGCAAAGTATGAGCACAGTGCCTAGCAGGAGTCCTTCAGAATTTTAAGTATTCTACTGATATTTAGATAAATCCAAACACACATACATGCACACACCATGAGTCAGCACTGTTTGAAGTGGTAATGCTTTTAGTTAAATTTCCAAAAGTTTATTTTCCCCTCTCAAAAGCAATTATTACACTACTCTGATTTTACACTAGGATACACCAGCCAATCAACTGCTCTCCCAACTACTTATTAAATCGCATGAGCAAGATGAGGAATCACTTAAAAGTATTAGCCAAATGAGGAGCATTCTACACTGATTCTCCAACTCTGGAAGTTGCCTACCTGCTGTGTATACAGACGCACTAGTCATAGTTTTTCTAAAAGGTGTAATAGTAGCTGCTTTTTCCGCTTCCAGCTCTGCTACAGTCTTCTGCTTCACAGGGGCTCCTTGAGGAATATTATTTGGTGGAGGTGCTGGGAAAATCACCTTGCCATCCTGACAAGAGATATTTACAGTTATCCCTAACGCAACAGATGCTTTATAGTTAGTGGAGCCTACTCTTCTTAATCCTGCAACTCAGATAAGTCTTAACATCCTACAGCCATGACACAGGAACATCTTCCTTTTATGTGTCTGTACAAGTTTGCAAGGCTCGATGATCAGTACAGCCTGACCAAGTTAACCACGCTGGTTTACAAATTTTTCAGATAAGATTTAATATCTGTGTCCAAGAGCACCCAACAGAAACACAGCGCAAGGCTTGAAAGCAGGAACCAAAACAAAAGAGCTAAAGTTCCTTCATGGAATTTTATGGAACTTACGTTCCTAAATGGAAAACATTGATGCAAAATAAAACAGGGTCTTCAAAATAGCAAAATCTGCTACAGATCAGAACTGTAACCAGAGCCTGCTCAGACCTCAGCTAGGTACCAAGCATGATGTCTCACACCTCCTGCTGTTCTTCAGGCCTCTGGAGGAATAACTGGTGGAGCTCTCTCAGACCTGAGTGGTCTGGGAGAGCTGAAGTCAATGCAAACCTTCTTCAGAGTAGACATCATAAGCATTACAAAACGTTGGCAATATTATGCAGCAAAACTCAACAGAAATGAATACCTCTTACCTAAACTGCAGATTATTATTTTCTAATAGTTGCAGGAGGAGAGCCCATATTGGCCCATGCCCTAAGTTTGTATTTTATTATTTCCTAATAGAGCTCAAAGGATACTGCATATTCTAGGTCCACCAGTTTTTTCTGAAGTTATTCTCATAAGAACAGAAATCTGTATTTTTATTGGGGTTTTTTCCGGAAAAAAAGGAAAAATCTTTTTTCTGGTCCTGTAGTAATGTTTCAAACATGTTTTAAATAACCATGCTTTTTACATGAATACAACGTGCAAATTCAATCTTTTTCCTATTTTTCAATAGCAGATGTTAGATATTTAACCATGACAAGAAGGCAAAAGCAAAGAGGTTTCCCTCACAAAAAGGGACAGAGGAATATTCAGCTCAATACAAACACAATTTTCCACACCGTCCATCAAGTCACATCTGAAGTGTATCCGCATGCGGCATCTCTGAATGTGTTTTAAAGAGACAGCACTGATAAATGTAACACTATGTACTCAAAAATTAAGAGGAGAATGTTTACTAGCTTACCTTCATTACTACAGTTCCTCTGATAACATGATCCAGAGTCCCATAATCAAATTCATCTTTTGGATCAAAGTAGAAGTTCTCTTTGTCAGGGCTAATAGCCTTTAGGAGTTTGATAATATTATTGGAATATAGACTACTGGCCTGAGTAGCCATTCTGCTAGGCAGGTCTGTGTAGCCTATGTGTGTAACACCCTGAAAAAATCCAAGTAAATCATTAAGGACTAGTTCAACCTCTGAAGAGGCAGCATCTCTTCCAATATATCCTTCTGGAAATATATATCCAAATTGTTTCACTTGTTTCTGTTTTTAACCCCAGCTAAAACTTTTACCTGCAGGTCTAACATTATTAAGTTGAGGGAGCATTACTCACAACAGTTACAGAATTCAACGTGATCAAACCCAACACCTTTAAACACCATTAACAACAAGCCTAGACAGAAAGAAAGACGTAGTGGTGCAAGAGCTTGTCCTCTCCAAATCCCACCACTGCCTCAGAACTCAGCTTTTTAGAGCAATCAAGTAACAGATTATCCTGCCCAGTGCTTGGCATCTTCTCAGTCCTTCTGGAGGGCATGCACTGGAGGCAACTTTCTATATGACAGAAGAGTGAAGGGAGCTTCCACAGAGCTAGCTGTGCAAAGTAATATGCCCAGGTTCACGTTTACGTAAAGATGTAACATAATATATCCACACTGTTTAAAGAACAAATGTGAGTATATCTGGCTATCAGGCTCTTGAGTTTTTGGAAGGTATGGGAAACAAGCTGGCATACACTCTTCATGCTCAAACAGGCTGGTGTTAAAACACTGCTCCTGCAAACTTACAGCTGAGATGCATGCTTCCAGGAACTCTGGCTTCTTAATGCAATGCTCTAGCACACTGCTAATAGTTCTGCACTGCTATCCTTTTCCACAGCTTAGTGCCAGTACACTATATTCAGGGGTAATATTCCTCTGACTAAAAGTGCTCCATATAAATTCTTCATACAAGTATCTGCTTACTTCTGTTCTACATACTCTAATTTCAGGTTTTAAGCAATGACATCAAAAGCCCTAAAAAAACCCACAAAGCCAAATACAATGCATGACTCACGATACATACACACACAGCCCTGCTTATATTAATGACAACTATGGCAGCTATATGTGCTACAGGCTTCTCTAATAACAGCATTATGTTCTTACATTACCAAATAACAACCTTGGAAATCTGCTACTTTAAATCTCATCACCCAAATTTCTATAACTGCTAGTACATTTCTCACAAGTACCAAAAATAAATCCCAAAAGCAGAAATACAAGCTCTGAAGTGAGCCAGTGAACACCGCACCAAAAGCGGTTATTTCAGTCCAGAGCAAAATCGGTTACTTTAATGAACCAATTCACACTACTCCTAGTTTAGGTTACAAGTGGTTTGGATACTCCAGGGCAGACTCACTCATGTTGGCAAAGCTAAAGACATAAAAATACAGCAACGTGCTGAAGCTGAAGTTACATTGAGCTGAGCCAGAGACTTTGCACCGAAGTAAACACTGACATAGTCTGAACCTGTTTAGCTTACCTATGACGGGGACTGTTAACCTCCAGTTGTGGGAGGTGATGAGCGAGCCAAAGAAGCTCTTGCTACCACTGTCTCTTTAGGTAGACCAAGAAATAGACATCAAACCACACCTTCAACTCAGCAGAGACAAATCACTGGACTTGGAAGTCTAAGTAGTAACAATTCCATACTTAAAAAACAAATTAACACTATACAAAGGTTGTTTCTTCAAAAAATCTTCAAATTGTTATAGATAGAGATGACTAGTGACCAAATGCAAATCTAAAGGATTACTTAAGCCCAAATAGCAAAATCAGCTACTCATTTTCAGCATACAGTTTACAAAACACAATGTGAATTCATGCAAACAGAAAATCATCTGCAGATTAAAATGCTCACCTTATGAACATATAATTCTCCAGGCTTTGTTGTCTCAATGTTTCCTCCTGCTTCTGCAGCTAAATCCACAACAACTGAACCTTCTTTCATTGATTCAATCATATCTTTCTTGAACAATATGGGAGCTTTTTTGCCTGACAAGACAAGATATTTAAGTTAAACATAAAATACAGGTTTTTATCTGTAGGGCTCTCTACCTTATTTTTGCAAGCAAAATATTCAAGTAATCAGTACCTAGGATAAAATGCCACAGATGTTTTTTATACAGGCAGGGAGAAGAGATACTAGAACATCTTGCTCCCAAACATATTAAAAGAGGTATGCATGAGCAGTCTACCAAAGATGCTGGCAAGTCCCAATTTTGTCCTCAGTAAACTGACAACATCCAATCTCACAATTCAAGTCACAACAAACACCAAAGAAAAAGGAAAAGCCACATTAAAAGACAGATGTTGTGCAATACAAAGCACTAAAACTTAAGCTCTACCCTTATTATGTTTCGATTACAAAAGACAGCACTGTTTCAATAGGACTTGTTTCAGTGCAGAAGCTCAACAGCAGAAGTAACAGTGGTGCAACAAATATGCAATAGTATATATCTTACTTTATTACTATCTACTCCTTGTTTAATAAGAAAACATGATGATACTGAGTCAAAGTGCTAATTTGTGAAAACAAAAGTTGTAAAAAAAGGCACACGCTTTGAAAACAGGCATTTATCAGGCAAGGGAGAAGTTACATGCTCACACAGACAAAATTTATCAATGCCTCTGTTTCCACTGCAGGCACAGCTCCAAAACATGCCAACTTACACAAGATAAATGCAAATTAGCATCTTGCACATAAAACATACCTGGAATAAGTGCTGTAGTGATGATAATGTCGACATCTTGGCACTGCTTGGCAAAGAGTTTCATTTCGGCTTCAATAAATTCTTTGGACATTTCTTTAGCATAACCACCTTGTCCCTCTCCAGACTCTTTTAAGTCTACTTCCAAAGGCTCAGCACCAAGAGACTTGAACTGTTCCAGAGCTGCAGCTCTAGGAAAAGAAAATCACAGGGAAGAAAACAACCACTACTTTAGAAACCCACCGTGACTTTTCTGGTCTTTTAAGTAGCAGTCTTCAGACAAGAGATCTAAAACTTATTCTAGGATTAAGGAGACAATAACTTAAGTCCTCAGCTTATTTAGTGAAAAAAGTAAATACATCACTAATTTTAGGTCCCTACTGAAGATATTTGGATAAGGCATGAAGGCAGTCTGTGGTTTCCTATGTAGTCAGCAGAGTTGTTCCAAGCAAAGTCTCAAATATGGAGCCTAACTGTTGACTTTCACCCATTTCTGTTGTCATGACTAGGTAAATCTACAGCCGAAACTTGGAACCCTAAGACAGGTGATAAATACACAACCTGTGGCCCTGTCTTTAATTTGTGAAATGGGAAATACCAGCAAGCCTTATTTTCAC